CACCTTCTATAATACCATAAAGTTGTAAATAGCCTATAGAAAATAAAGATAAATTACTTTGATTGAGTAGTTATTAATTTGGTATCGTGGTATGATTTGGAGTAGAAATAGGCGCATATTTTAACTTCATATCTTATTATGTTATAGATTGACGTCCATCTGTATCGCGGTATGATTTGGAGTAAATATACGTGCGTTTCACAGATACAAATCATACTACGTTATAGAATGGAATCCATCTGTATAATGGACATAATGATATAAATCGTAAATACGCAACCCGGCCATAGAGCTATTAGTGATGGCAATGATATATCGATGTTGTGTAAATATCGATATATTACTCAAATATATCGATATTTTATATTCGATATATCGAAAAAAATATCGATTTAATTTTTTCGATATATCGGAACTTTTATAATAATGCCTTCGCCCGTGCGCATAGTTCATTGATTGACAGAGGCAGCTAAAATAAAACAAAACGTCAGTTAGGGCGTGTGCGTAGCAATTAAATAGGGAAAAGGGACTTTCCGCATGATAAAATATAGTTATTTTCCTAACAAGTGCGCAAAGTGTTACTTTTCCGCACGCAAACACAGTTATACGAACGACGCGAAGCGGAGTTCGGATACGTGTTTGCGTGCGGAAAAGACACTTTGCGCACGTGTTAGGAACAAAATTTTTCCTACGAGCTTCATATCAGGTAGGTAACAACAAAAATCAAAAAAAAAACGATAATTTGTTTAATTATTTTTAATTAACTTGAAGGGAACCTATGCATTTATCAAAAAATTACATAACAAAAAAAAAATATAACAGAAAATCATCGTCAGAGCTCTTCATCTTAAAGCGTTTAATGGCGATTTCCATTTGTCATCAGTGCCGCACTGAGTGCATCCGCATCTTTTTCTAAAAGCATGTAACATGTAAGGATAAGGATACATTTTTTTGCCCTGTTTCGACAAATGGAAAACGCTATAAATTTGATGAGAAAGTTTGTAGATTCTTGCATATAAATAGAAAACAAATCTGACAATGTGTTGAAGTTAATTAAATTTGGTGTTTGTAGGTATAGATGTTAGCTGGTACAGAAACAGAGGAAAAATTTGTCATCATGTGTCAAAGTCGACAAGTGTACTTATTGTTGCTTGACAATTATTTTTACTTTTCGGCACTCAGTGCGGATAAGGCCTGTATCCGCACTGAGTGCGGAAAAGTGCAACTTTGAGAACCGAAATGCGTGCGGAAAAGTACTACTTTGCGCACGCTCGTAGGAAAACGTTATTTCTTCACGACCGTGCGGAAAAGTACTTTTCCACACGCATTTTAGGATATGAAAGTACCAGAGTGACCTGACATTGCATAATTATTTAATTTTTACGCACTAGTGTGGAAAAGTAATATTTTCATGGCCTAAAATGCGTGCAGAAAAATGCACCTTTCACAAGCTCGTAGACGAGCTTCCCCCTCCCCTGAACACAAATTTATAAAGTTATTATCCTGCACCCATGAGGACTTTCAAAAGTCGGCGTCTCTGGTTGGAGGAACTATCAAGAAGTCCCATCTGCAAGGATTTTGCTCAAAACCCCTGAAAAAAATGATGTCAAAATTGCTCAAAAAATGTTCATACCTGGTTAAAGGTCACAGATTGCGTATTGTAGCAAACCGCGCCCAAGTACCCTTTTTAATTAGTTAGATGGTGAATGGCGAGCGGTCTATTGATGGTGTTTATTTCCTTGGGCGGCTACCTATAAAATTGTGGAGGGGGTCTATTCGCAAATGAGAGAAACAAACTATTAGGGTTTATCAAATTATATTTTATTATACCTAAAACAAAAATAAATTTCCCAAATCATATTTCATAACTTTTCAAACTTTATTATATCGGACCACGAATTATCCATACTATAACGCCCTACTTCTTTTTCTCTTAATAACTTATAATTTAAACATTTATTCTTTTATGTCATACCAATGCATTATTGTATTTTTATACCTTAGATACCATCTACATAATTCATTACTTTATGCCCGTGCGGGATTCGCAAAAAACAGTTTTCGATTAACTCATTCTTTATTAACAAAATATAAATTTACGCTTATAAATATATTATTTTTTGTACAACTGTCAAAAAATGATGATGTTCGCACACTCATGACAGTTTGCGAAGTGACAGTTTTTTCCCAGGTATGGTTTTTTTAACGTTCCCATGACGCCGTGCGCAAAATGCTACTCATATTATTATATTTGCTACTTGTATATATACTTGTACCTATATATACTTGTTTATATACTTATATATATACTTGTATATATACTTGTAGATATGTAAACCAACTTTATGGAACAATGTCTGTATGTTTGAGGTGGATTTATAATATTACCTTGCATTTTTTGGGACTTACACCTCAATTGAAATTAATACCAAAAGTTTCTTGATCTTGATACGAACTACTACAAGCTCTCTGATTAGAGCAATTTTACCTATCAGATTATTTTTATAAAATAAATTACTCGAATCGAGTTTTTGTAAACGAATCAAGTTTTATTATTTAAATAAAATAATACTTGATTAGGCTCGGTGGTATGAATTCTGGAATTTACCAGAAATATGGGCACTTGTCAATAACCATGTCAAGATAGAATTTTTGCTTTATTTTAGTTTTTCAACAAATTCCTTTGAATTTTTCAGCATTTGTAGCTCTTATTAAGCTCTAAATGGACTGTAATTTAAAATATTCTCAGATTTATAGTTTTTGAGTAAATTGAATTTCAAGTTTTGACAAGATTTGAACAAAAAGTCAACTTTGGGACTCAATTGCTCAAAAACTATTAGAGCTATCAAACTCAATTTTGCACAGATTTATAGAGAATTTAATGCTCTTTGCACTGGTATATAATTTATTCCAATTTGTTGAAAATTTAACAAAGATATGGGCACTTGTCAATGACCATGACAAGATCTTAAACGTTTTCCGAGGCCAAAAATAGAATTTTTGTTTTACTTTAGTTTTTGAACAAATTCCGTCGAATATTCCAGCATTTGTAGCTCTTATTAAGCTCTAAATAGACTGTAATTTAAAATATTCTCAGATTTATAGTTTTTGAGTAAATTGAATTTCAAGTTTTGACAAGATTTGAACAAAAAGTCATCTTTGGGGCTCAATTACTTAAAAAGTATTAGAGCTATCAAACTCAATTTTGCACAGATTTATAGAGAATTTAATGCTCTTTGCACTGGTATATAATTTATTCCAATTTGTTGAAAATTTAACAAAGATATGGGCATTTGTCAATGCCCATGTCAAGATCTTGAACGTTTTCCGAGGCCAAAAATAGAATTTTTGTTTTACTTTAGTTTTTGAACAAATTCCGTTGAATATTCCAGCATTTGTAGCTCTTAGTAAGCTCTAAATAGACTGTAATTTAAAATATTCTCAGATTTATAGTTTTTGAGTAAATTGAATTTCAAGTTTTGACAAGATTTGAACAAAAAGTCAACTTTGGGGCTCAATTACTTAAAAAGTATTAGAGCTATCAAACTCAATTTTGCATAAATTTATAGAGAATTTAATGCTCTTTGCACTGGTATATAATTTATTCCAATTTGTTGAAAATTTAACAAAGATATGGGCACTTGTCAATGACCATGTCAAGATCTTGAACGTTTTCCGAGGCCAAAAATAGAATTTTTGTTTTACTTTGGGTTTTGAACAAATTCCGTTGAATATTCCAGCATTTGTAGCTCTTAGTAAGCTCTAAATAGACTGTAATTTAAAATATTCTCAGATTTATAGTTTTTGAGTAAATTGAATTTCTAGTTTTGACAAGATTTGAACAAAAAGTCAACTTTGGGGCTCAATTACTTAAAAAGTATTAGAGCTATCAAACTCAATTTTGCACATATTTATATAGAATTTAATGCTCTTTGCACTGGTATATAATTTATTCCAATTTGTTGAAAATTTAACAAAGATATGGGCACTTGTCAATGACCATGTCAAGATCTTGAACGTTTTCCAAGGCCAAGAATAGAATTTTTGTTTTACTTTAGTTTTTGAACAAATTCTGTTGAATATTCCAGCATTTGTAGCTCTTATTAAGCTCTAAATAGACTGTAATTTAAAATATTCTCAGATTTATAGTTTTTGAGTAAATTGAATTTCAAGTTTTGACAAGATTTGAACAAAAAGTCAACTTTGGGGCTCAATTACTTAAAAAGTATTAGAGCTATCAAACTCAATTTTGCACAAATTTATAGAGAATTTAATGCTCTTTGCACTGGTATATAATTTATTCCAATTTGTTGGAAATTTAACAAAGATATGGGCACTTGTCAATGACCATGTCAAGATCTTGAACGTTTTCCAAGGCCAAAAATAGAATTTTTGTTTTACTTTAGTTTTTGAACAAATTCCGTTGAATATTCCAGCATTTGTAGCTCTTATTAAGCTCTAAATAGACTGTCATTTCTTGAATCAATAATAGTGATATATTGTTGGACCATATTCCATGATAATAATAGCAAAGAAAATAACCCCACCCTAACACGACAAAATAATAAATACAAATATTTCTACGTATGGACGCACAAACCAAATTCGCGTTCAAATTGAGCACGTAAATCCCTTTGAGCATGTACCAGAGACCGACACTGGCCGGCTCGCGTTCGCAACTATTCGAGTACAGAAAGATTCAGAGCGAGCGTGCGCGCACAGCCCTTTACACTAGAGCATTCGCGGTCGCTCAGTGCGTGCGTGCTCAAGTCTAGTCTAAACGCACCTTAAGAGCTGATCGCAAGAAAAGGAGTCGGTAACTTAAAAGGCTAAACTTTATAGGAATAGATGCACCATATGTAGGCCTTCAATAATCCGCCGGGTGATAACACCCCACCCCCTGCGTTTAGTGTCTTAAGAAATTGTTAAAAAATTGAATTTTTTGTTTTAGGCGCCCTCTACTTGAAAGAAAAATTTTTGGAACGTTTATGAAATAATTGTTATTAACATCAATAATTTTTATTGCAAAAATTCAAAACAATTAGGTACATGAAAAAATACATTTCATCCTGTATGCACTTAAATTACCTATTATTTCTTTTATATAATTATATTATTCTATACAAAAGCAACAGGATCTAGTATAGCGTTTCTAGCAAATAACACAAAAAAACACATGGAATAATTGAACAAATCATGAATAGGGACATCAATGGAGAGAATATTAATAACTTCCCGTTTTATAACGAAATAACTCAACACAAAGGACAAGGACGCAGTTATGCCATAATAGTTACTGTTCATTGTGGACACCAATAATAAGGAAAGCAAGTTTCCTCCTAGAAATAAGTCTTCCAATGGTTCATTATTTCGTTTTTCATAGAGATAGAGTAAGAGTGGCACCAATGCAATAACGTTGTGCGAATAGGCGAGGTTTGGGAAGTAGTTGTATTTCAGCCATATTGTAGTTACAATGCCGGGAAGAACTAGAAAGTCTTGTAGTTTTGAGGTAAGGCGGTAGTGGGTGTCAATTTTGTGACCATAGGATGGGTTACCTAAAAAAAAAACTTAATGTTAGTTATGTATGGTTAATTGGATAAACTCTTTCGAATATGTGATAAGTAGGTACATAGACATTTTACAATTTGGAAGCACAACGTATGTGATTTGCCTAGGATTTCTTAATGTATTGTTTTGTGCAGGGATTAGAGTACTGAGTCTTTTAAAACAGGGATTAAAAATGCCACCCAAACGCGCTCTGGCTCACCTCATACAATGGCAATTTGTCAGAAAATTTCAAAACTATTTTATAGCCAAGTAATGAGTCAGAACCCAAGGGTTGGTTTTAAAAATATATGAGAAAAATAAATTTAGTAAAAAGAAAAATAGTGAATTGACAGTGTCGACATCTGTCATGTCATTGACATTACTTTACACACTAGTGTGTGAAGTGAAATTTAACGTCTTCGCAATAGTGTATAAAGTGAGTACTTTACGTGAGGTAGTAGAAAAAATACTATCACAACCTATTTTGTTGCAACTGGGGGTTTGAGATCTTTTTTCCTTGACCGCATGTGGATTTTGATTAGCCCAAAAGCCAAATCCTTGTCAAATTCATACAGTTTTTCTGTAACTTTACATAATTTTTATAGTTGCACAAAAAATAGTGTGTATACCATTGACCGCGAATCTTTTTAGCGTACTTGAGAGTATCTTTCCTCGGCCGCTTGCCTCGGCAATAACTTTTCTCTATGTACGCTAAAAAGGCATTTCGCGGCCTTGGTATACAAATAACTTTTGTGTCCGAACAAATTTTCTTTCATTCATTGGTCGTAAATCAGGGTACATTTCGTTGAACTTTTTGCATATTCTTGCTACAATTTTTTTGCAGATTTCTTCTTTTTGACGGTTTGTAAAGTTTTGCTGTAGGAAAAACGAAATAAACTTGCTGACAGCTGATGGCAGGCATTTTTTTTTAATTAAAAATTATTTTTGACACCAAAATTATCACTTCTGATTGGTCAAAATTAACAGGAGGGAAAAAGTCATGGTAAAATGTATGGCCCACTTCTATAGATGCCTATAATATTTAAGACTTTTATGACGTCATTGGATTGAACTCTCAAAAACACCATGAGTAGGAAAAAGACAAAAACAAAACAATGACAATATTTTTGCTTATTACACATTGTAAAAAGTGGACCATCTTATGCATTTGTTTCCAATCAATAAACTGTTCCAATATTTGCAATCATCTTCCATTGTAGAAAATCATGTGTTTTGTATCGTTTGAATTACCTATTATGTTTCATCGTGACATAGCTATTTAATGACGATTCGGGTTGATAGAATGAGTGTAAAAAAAATGTATTTCTATCTGTTTCTACAACAGGCTGGGAGAAAAATATGAAAATATACTCAGTGTGAAATCTACCAATTGGAAACGCCATTAAACAAATATCCCAAAATAATCCAATGGGCCACTTTCACATTTTTCAAAAACATATTTAAATTATTTTTTTCTATTTTGGTGTCATATTGAAGTCTTTTCGACACTAAAAGTAGTTTCGAAAAGAAGGTCTTTGTGACACTCCTTTTTTACTTATCGGAGGTTGGTAACACTGGCTGACTGATGGCCATCGAACTGTCATTAGCGATTTTATAATAGAATATTTCTATATTTGGCATGTAGTGTTACCAACCTAAATATATGAAATCGAAATATGAGAATAAAATGTCCAAGAAAAATTTGTTTTTTTTAATTAAACAATACCAAAATAGAAAAAATAGTATAAAATATTCGTTTCATAAGACATTTTATCGCACTCGCCCTTTAGATAACTCGCCTCCGGCTCGTTTTCTAATATAGGGCTCGTACGATAAAAAGACGTCTTATGAAACTTGTATTTTAATGTACTATTTTAGTCATTCTAATACTATCTGTATACTTTTTTTTTCAGAGAAGAACGCTTTTCCTAGAAAAAAAATTTATTTAAAAATCGAATTTTTAAACTGGTGCGTAAACGCGAACTTGGTTTGTGGCGTCACAAACCAGAAAATCAACAAAAATGCGAGGATGCCAAAGTAAATCATTACACATTCCACTAGCTAAAAACTATTTTTGTGTTTTGCTACATTATAAAAAATAAAGGATAGGTATAATCCTTATTAACTCATTTAAATTTCGCATTTGTACATGTGGCAACAAAAACGTCACAATTGGTTTTAGCCAATCAGAGAGCGTTTTCAATCACATAATTTCTGTATTTCTGAAACCTTACTATTTAGGTATAGGAACATGATACATCATTTGTAAGGGATTTTAATTGCCTTTCATAATATACAGGGTGTTCTATTTAAAAAACTGCACTTTTCATCTATTTTGTACCTGGCAGCACAATCATTAATTTTGACCAACCGTGTATAATGTAGAACAAATTTTCTTGCTCAAAAGTAATATGTAGGACCTTTCTAAGTTATCTCCAAAATTTAAACTTTCTATGAATCTCAGGGACGTAGTAATACAAATTTAACACTTTGACTGCCATGTGTATAATAAGGTATACACAGTGGCCTGGACCAGATCGCCACGTGTATATTCTAGTATACACATGCAATCATCAATATTCTGTGCCGTGTGTGTAGTAAAGTAGCACGCTTTACATGCATTTCTTATGGAATATTTTTCAGCGTGGCGTGGGGCAATCACAAAATAATTTTAGCGCCGACTTTGAATGAAAATTTCGTATGATCTCATAGCATCACTAATATACATCACAATAGACTTGCATGACTTGCACAACAGCAATGAACCACATTCAAATCGACAATGACCACTATTCATAAGCTCACAGTGTGGCTACAGAGAAGAATAATCCTGTCTAAATCGTGCATGTCGCTGTCTAGACCGTGTATATCATCGGATACACGTGGCGTATTATAGATTTTTTTCACTTTTACGCCACGTGTATATTTTTTATACACTTGCCCTAAAGCCCTTATTACAAAAAAACTAACATATAGTATATATTAGAGAGCGTTAGAAAGGTATTTCAAATGGTTTTCTATAAAAAAGCACATGTGGCCCAAGCGACCCTTTCATAGAATTTGACGTGGCAGTCAAAGTGTTAATTAAAGCTATGTTTTGAAGAAAAAATAAAGAAGTTAATTAATAATTCGAAAATCACTAGCGATAGGTATGGTAAAGTAATAGTGGAGCGAAAAATGCAATAATATACAGAGTGTCTCATTTGAAATTTCAAAGTTTATATTACTTCTTGGTATAGGCGGCAACGTCGCATCGTTCAAATTATTTTATATATATAGATCAGGAACAATTACTTGGGCATGCAAATTTTCAAAAATATCCAACATTCCGTTTTCCATAAACGTCTAACCTACCATCGACCATCAATTACCCTGTGTAGTATATTGGATAACTGCTCTTAGCATTTCAAGGTATATTTTTATTATATGTATTCTATTTCTTTTGTTATCTTCACTAGTTACTAGCCATGGTTACTGGTTGTTAGAAAATAAACTTGGATAATTTTCCTATGATTATTCCAGAAATCCTCTTTGTTTGAATTCCCAGTTATCACATTTTTGGCGACGAGAGAAATAGTATATTGTTGTATTAGGAGTAGAAGCTTTACTTTTTTGTGCTGAAGCAGTAGGTTTGCAAGCCGAACGTAGTGAGGCTTGCAATACTGCTGAAGCACAAAAAAGTGCTTCTACTCCGTATGCAACACGCTATTTTTTCTCCAAACGAATGGGGTAAGCTCGGGGGCAAGTGAATGGTTGAGCGGCAGTAAAAGTACAAGCGGCACTAAAAGTACTTTTGCTGCCGCTGGGGTTGCCAAGCAGCATAGAAATTAAATTTCTACCACCTCGACAGGTGTTAACCCGCTGGATTTGCCTAGCAGCATAGAAATCAAATTTCTGACATCTTGACAGGGGTTAACAAAGTGACGTTTTTCTGACGTTTGGAGAAAAAAAATATTATTGGATTATCCTTGCCTTTTCAAGATGCCGAACGACGCTTACAATGATGCTGAGATTATGGGCACGGCGAATGTTACTGTGGTAAATACGGGCAATATTTCTAATTTGGCTATTTTCAAGATTGGGGATGATTGGGAAATTTTTAGCGAAAGGCTAGACCAGTTTTTTTTAGCCAACCGTGTTGAAGATGGCAAAAGAGTTTCAGTACTTTTAACTTCTATAACTGAAGAAGTTTATATTATTTTGCGAAACATTTGTCATCCGGAAAAACCCAGTTCCAAATCTTTTCTGGAATTAATTGATTTGTTGTCAGGCCAGTTTAAACCAAAAGTATCTGTTTACCGAAAAAGAATTGTTTTCGATTTATTGAGGCAGAAAGAAGAGTCGATTAATGAATGGTTTGTTCGAGTAAAAAAAGCAGCTTCCGAATGTGAATATGGAAATTTGCTCGAGTCCAGGGTGTTAGATAAATTTGTAGTTGGATTAAAACCAGGACCTATTTTAGACCGTCTTTGTGAAGAGAAAATAACAAGATCTTTGAAGGACATGGTGGAGATAGCTTTAGTAAAAGAGTCAGCCCTTAAGGACACAAGACAGCCTTTGTCAAATGTTTTTCATCTTCATGGACATGGTAACCAGAAGAAATTTGATGAGGCGAAAGGAAATTTTAAAGGTGGAAAACCTAAAGAAAAGAAGCAGGTAAATGAACAAGACAAGTTGAGAGATAAGAAATTTTTGTGCTTTGCCTGTGGAGAAGGTAACCATGTTTTTAAAATATGTAAATTTAAGAAATACACTTGTAGTGTATGTAAAAAAAAGGGTCATATTGCTAAAGTATGTAAAAACCAGGTTGATAAAGTCAATTATTTAGGGAATAACGATCTTGAAGTAGATTTCTTTAATCTTGAGATAGATATTTTTAATTTAGACAATGATCACATTGCTCCAGTTACTTTAAATGCTTTTGTAAATGGTATTCAGCTTGTTTTTGAGGTTGATACGAGGGCAGGTTTGTCTTGTTTACCCTTTGAGATATACAAAAAATTATTCC